TTTGCATATCTTCCCCGCGCAGCCTCGCTGGAGCTGGACACCGACGTGGCCAGCGCTCCTTCTCTCATTGTTCCCAAGGAGAAGCCGAGGGCAGGAAGGTGTGGGAGACTCAGGCCTGGTGCAGTTAGAGGTACAGATGCCTGTGCTGCCACCCACATGCTTCCTCCCACCCGGTCCCCCCTTCTCCTCTCTCCTCCTCCAGTACAGCTCCTACCCCAGTCTGGATCTATCTGGCCTCCCCGCTTTTCCAACTGCCACCCCCACTCCAGGCCGACCCCTGCTGCTCACTTGCTCCTCCTGCCCCCTGGACTCCATCGGACTCCATCGTGCCCAAGCACAGAGCACAGAGCACTAGGAATCAGGACGGCGGATGCCACCTTGCTCCATCTATGAGTCCTGTTGTCCAAGAGGCAATGCGCTCAGGCTCCCTCTCACTCAGCACTGGGAGCCAGCTGGCTGTCTCCAGTCTCCAGAGCCCTTCTGGGACTGCGGAGTTCGTGCAGGGGAAGGCTCAGTACCCTTGGAGTGTGTCGGAGTGGTCCTGCATCCCCACTGGCTTTGTAGTCCTCGGAGTCCCTGGGTGGTGCAAATGGTTAGCACCCAGCTCTTAGCCAAAAGGTTGGAAGTTGGAGGTCACCCTGATGTCCCAGGGAAGAGAAGTGGAAAAGACAGCCACCCACCAGGGACTCTGGGGCACAGAGCTACTGAGTCACTCACGCGGGTCAGGTTGGCATGATTTGGAACCGACTGACAGCAACCAGCGTCTGAGTCTTCAGCTCCTTCCATCTCAGAACTGGACAGCAACACGGCCCCGAAACAGGCCAGTTGTTAAGAGAGAGACCCCTGTTTCCGGGGATGTTGGGACAGCTAGTTAAAGCTGAGGCTGGATGCCCCTACTCTAGGCCCGCACAGCAACAGGCGGGTGTTATGTGAGGGTCTTTGTTGAGGAGATGAGCCTATGGTCACAGTTCAGCCTCCTGGGCCTGTCCACATCACTCTGCTCACCCGCTTTCCCTTCTGTGCATTAGGGGCCTATCCTACCCTGCCTGCCTCCCGATCCCAGGGCAGGTGTGATGAAATGAGGCCCTGCCTGGTGGGTCCCTTGCATGTCCCTTTCTGGGCCTGGTTACATTACTCCTCACCAGTCAGCCCTTAGCTTAGCTTGCTCAGGCAGAGCTGCCTCCCCCAGCAGGGAGGCACCCCTGGGACCTCAGCCTCAGGTGACCTTCTGGGGCTCTTGGGTTTCAGAGAGCAGAAAGCTGCTTCCTTTGGGTCATTCTTGGGAGTGGCTTCCCTCTGGGCGTGGCAGCAGGTGATTGGGATGGTGGTGATGGAAGCGGACGGGCAAGGGTTAAGAGGAAGTGACAGGAGCTTTGCAGCCAGGGAGGACTCCAGCCAACCTCCTGGTTCAGTCCCTTGGTGAAATGAGTTCCTTTGAGAAGATCTGAAGGATGTGTGTGTGTGTGTGGGGGGGGGGCGGGCATGGTAAATGAGACTATCTTATCTGATGCCCCTCCAAAATAGCTCACTGCCGTCAAGTGGATTCTGACTCATAGCCCATCTACAGGATAAGGTAGCACTATCCCTGGGCTTCTGAGACCAACTCTGTACGTTACAGAAGAAAAGGGGGGACATGTCCCATCTTTTCTCCCGTAGAGCAGTTGGTGGTTTTGAACGGCTGACCTTTCGGTTAGCAGCCCAGCCATAAATAACCATGGTGCCATTAGGACTTCACCTCACTCAGCCCCAAACAGACACACAGTGAGCCTGGCCGTCAGTGAGGTGGTGGAGCTAGCCTCAGAGTGCGAGGGGGACCCCTGAACTAGTGCAGGGTGGGGAGGAGAGCCATGCAGTTGATGGGAGCTGCAGCCTGGGCAGGTAAAGGCTTCAGTCCAATCCTCTCTCAGGTGGGCTACAGAGGCCACTTTCCGGGAGGGCTCAAGGAAGAAAAGCCGAAGGTACAAAACTCGGCGCCAGCCAAGTGTTTCATTTACTCGTTTTCACGAATCTTTATTGAGTGCCAGGTGTTGCCAGACGGTTAAAACGTCTAGGCACCTGCTCACGTTCTTAAAGATAGAGGTGAGCGTAGGGAGAGGCAAAAGGTAAACTTGAGAAGACGAAGGGTAGAGATTTGAACGTGTGATGAGCCCTACAAGGATCGGCAAGCGGGCGATGGCTCGGTTGCGGCGAGGACATGTGAGCTGGCAGTAAAGTGGAAGACGGGGGCTATCCTGCCGCCCTGCCCCCAGGTCGGCAGTTGGAGCTCAGCCCGGGCGGGCCCGCTCGGCGCCCGGCCCCGCTCTCCTTTCAGCCCATTCATCCGTGCCGGGGGCGGGCGGGCAGACAATCACACCCTGTGTTATCACAGGCATCGACTCCAACCTCCTGCTTGGCGCCCGCAACGTGCGGCCACCGGGGGAAGGGGCCTCTCGGGCCTCCCGGGGAACTCGAGCGCCCCGGCCAGGGACGCCTCCTTCGGGAGTCGGGCCGGAAGGTGGACCGATGGCCCTGGTTCCAACAGGCGCGCCGCCCAACGCGGACTGAGCAGGGTTTTCCCGAGCTCCACAGGCAACGGTCTTCCAGCCATGGGACCCGCGGCGCCCGCCTACTGCGCACTACAACTCCCAGAAGGCGACGTGACCTGGCCCTCGGGGTCACCGGCGAAAGGGCGCGTGTCTTGGCCAATCACGCTCCCCGGAGGGTGGCAGGAGGTGGGCTTCCAGCCGAGCGACCTTCCAATCCTCGAGCGGGCCTGGCTGACGTCACCGCCGGAAGTTCCCGGAAGTAGGCACGGAGGCTGGTCCGGGTCTCCGTGTGAGTCGCGCGCCTTCCTGCCGCTAAGATGGCGGCCGAGCACCCAGAGCCTCCCAAGGGGGAGTTGCAGCTGCCGCCGCCGCCGCCGCCGCCAGGGCACTATGGCTCCTGGGCTGCCCAGGAGCTGCAGGCCAAGCTGGCAGAGATCGGAGCGCCGATCCAGGGTGAGGAGTGGAGGGCGAGAGAGGGCTGCGCGGGCCTGCCCAGCGGAGCCTGGTCACCCCGGAGAGCCGGGCGCCGTGCGCGCGGGCCCGGCCAGCCTGACCAGCCCGCCCCTGGCCAGCCCAGGTTACCCACCCCGTGTGTTGCCCCGCAGGGAGCCGCGAGGAGCTGGTGGAGCGACTGCAGACCTACACGCGCCAGGTAAGCAGCAGCGGGGCATAGACGCTGGACCCGCGCCCTGCGCGCCTGGGCCCGGCGGCACCCTAGGCGTTGATGCCGCAGACTGGCCCCGGCCCTGCCTTTTGCCCGAGGACGTGACCGGGAGTTGCTTTCTTCCTGGCAGACCGGCATGGTGCTGAATCGGCCGGTTCTGAGACGGGACGATGGGGACAAGGCGGCTCCCCCTCCCATGTCGGCGCAGGTGAGGAACCCGTTTCGCGCTGTCCGGGCCCTCGTTAATACTAACGGTTGACCCCCCTTTTCCGGTGCCGCGTTCCGGGGGCGCCGTTAGCAGACTGCACAGGGAGGGCAGAAGTAGGGGCCCTTCAGTTCTTTCAAGGGCCCTGGTGGTGCAGCGGGTCAGGCGTTGGTCCGCAGTCCACTAGGCTGGCTGCCTCACGGGAGAAAGAGCAGCCTTTGCCCCCGGGAAGAGTTGTAGTCTTGGGAGCCCTCCAGAGCAGCCCACCCTATAGGGTCTACAGGATCGCTGTGAGTCGGAACGGACTCCCAGGTAACAGGTTTCCGTTTTTTTGTGTTTTCTTTCTGGGTTCTCACACCTGCCTCCTGCAGTCTCCAAATTCTGCTTGGTGTTCAAGACTCAGACATCTGGGAGCCTCACTTGATCTTGCCCTGTAAACCCTCATTGCCATCGGGTCGATTCTGATGCGTAGTCCCTGTGGGTTTCTGAGACTGTAACTCCTCAGGGGAGTAGAGAGCCCTGCCTTTCTTCTGCAGAGCAGCTGGTGGTGTTGAACTGCTGACCCTGTGGTTAGCGGTCCGGCGAGTCATCACTGTGCCCGGGGCAGTTGATCGTCCTCTGGGGTGGAAGTAATCAATCACTCCCTACCTTGACACAGTTCCTATGTTGTTGAATGGGCATTGGCAGCGAACTCCCTGCTGTGGTGGCCTACGTAGCCCCTGCATTTAGTGAGTCTTTGGGGTATGTTGGGACCCCTGCCCATTGGTTCCTATTTAATGGAAACCCTCACATTTCCCACATGCTCTTGGGTTGAGGTTGGCCGTTCAAATCGACCAGCTGCTCTGCAAGAGAAAGCTGCGACAGTCCGTCTCTGTGAAGACTTACAGCCTTGGAAACCCCCAGGGAGCAGTTCTGCTCTGTCCTCTCAGTCGATCTGAGTTGGCATGGCATCTACATAAGGGCAGTGGGGCTTTTTGGGTTCCGATCCAGCAGTGGCTACAGTCTGGGGTCCCTTGACCCCAATGGATGGGATGATAGGTCCCTAGATGGCTTTTATAAGTGTCCCCAAACCTCCTGAAAATGTACCTGGAATCTGTTTTTCTGGCAATAAATCTGATTGTTTGTCCATCGCTTGATGCCCCAGTGTGGCCATTTCTCTTGATGAATGTTTGGGCCATGCTCTTCTTGAACCCAGTAGTCATGCGTTATGGGTGGTGGTGGTGGTGAGGTCCCGCCGAGTTTTTCTGGGCTGTGGTAACTGACTTATTGGAGGCTGTAACCGTAGCCGTTTGTTTCCAGGCTGGATTTTAGCCTCTGATGCATTGGGCTGCTAACAGCAAGGTCAGCATTTTGGAACCTACTGGTTGCTCCTCAGGAGAAAGACGAGGCTCCTGGTGCCTGTAAAAGACTTAAGGGCCTCAGAACCCCCAGGGATCACTGTAAAGGAGCCCTGGTGCTGAAATGCTTGCATGTTGGGCTGCATACCACAGGGTCAGCAGTTCGAAGCCACTGGAGAGAGAGAAAGACAAGGCTTTCTACCCCTGTGAAGAATTACAGCTTCGGAAACCCACCGGGGCAGTTCTAGCCTACTTTGAAAGGTCACTGTGAGTCCGAATGGAAGACTTTCTGGTAGCGAGGGTTTTAGAGGGTTGCTGTGAGGTGGATTGGCCTCTGTGGCATTGAGTCTGGTTGACTCTTGTGGGAGCAGACAGAGGTGGTCTTTCTCCAGTGGAGCCGCCGGTGGCTTTGAACTGCCCACCATTCCATTAGCAGTCAAACGCTCCACCGTCATCACCTGGGACCCTTGCGGGAGAACCTTGTGGTACGTGGCTTTGAGTTCCAGCAGGGGTTGGCAGAGCGCACAGACAAGTTCTGCCTAGTTTACGCCCATGGTTTCTTCACAGCTCTCCGGCATTCCCATGCCACCGCCACCCATGGGACTCCCTCCTCTTCAGCCGCCGCCTCCTCCACCTCCACCTCCACCGGGCCTCGGCCTCGGCTTCCCCATGGCTGGAGGACCCCACCCCCCCACCTTGGGGCCGCCTCCTCCCCTCCGAGTGGGCGAGCCCGCGGGGCTGTCCGAGGAGGAACGGCTGAAGCTGGCGCAGCAGCAGGCGGCATTGCTGATGCAACAAGAGGAGCGTGCCAAGCGGGTGAGACGGGTGCAAGCCCACGGCTAGGCCCCAGCAGGCCCCTGACGGGGGAGCCGAGCTCTCCAGAGAGCTTGATCCGGTGACCCAGGCTTCTGGGAAGGTCTGGACCGTGGATGAGCTTGTAGACCCTAGGCTCAGTGAGGCCGCAGGAAGCAGGGCTAGACAGGCCTGGGTGTGGGTGCTGGTGGGAGCTTGTTTTCTCATCTAGGCCCCAGAGCGGTTCACAGAACAAACACGAACTACCTCCTGGAGCAGCAGAAAGGCTAAACAAGCCCCACCAGGTTCCAGCATCTCCCAAATTCCTACCCCCGACCCATCTGGTCCAGGGGTGATAGCCACAGCCTATTTTTGTACAGCCTGAGCGCTAAGCATGATTGTAGTTTTAAAGGACTGTTGATAAAACAGTCTCTGAGGGGGTTCCAGGAAGTTGGGGCTGGGGAGAGGGGGGTGACATCCATCACCTTCTGCTTCCACTTTCCCCTGAGCTTTTCGAAGCCCCCTTGTCCACGAAACAGCTCTGAGGGCCACGGAGCTGGGCCTGTGTGTCGTGCTGGGCAGAACATTGGCTGGCCTCAGGTGGCTTTGCCTGACTGAGCCCCTTGGTAAGACAGTGTGGCCAGCATCTTCACGTGCAGGATTTGGACTGGCTGCCGGGAGGGTGCGTGTGGCAGTGCTGAGCAGATGTCAGACCCCAGAGGTACATAGCATTAGTTGTTCCCAGACCCATGACCTGGAAGTGTTTTTCTTAAAGCTTTAGAAGCCGCAGGTGAGGACGTAGTTAGAATGTGCTTATCTTGGTGGCTCACCAGCTTGTAGAGATCTTGAGGTGTAGATAGAGGGTTTGGACTTCCCATTTTTTCTGAATCTTGAGATGTTATCTTTGGCGTGGGGGGGGGGATTATTCTGGAAAACAGAGGAGGCAGTGTTGAGCTAGCTGATGAGCTTTATGCCAGGGCTGTCGACTCCCCTGGCTTTGCTTAGTGTGATTTCTTGGGCATCATCTCTGGTGAGAGGGCACCTCTGTTTACAGTGGGCCCCTGGACGTGTGGGGGCGGGGGCTGGGGGTTGTCAGCCCCAAGTGGCTCCTGATTGTCCTCCTCGGGCCTGTTAGCAGGCGGAAAGCAAGCATTTGCCAGGGGCCAGCTGCCAAGTGGGTTTTCCGGCTGTGTCTCCTCTCCGTTGGTCCCCCTGCAGGCAGCTGTGATGCTGGAGCAGGAGAGGCAGCAGGAGATGGTCAAGATGGGCACCCCGGTGCCTCGGCCCCCACAGGACATGGGCCAGATGGGCGTTCGCACTCCTCTGGGTCCTCGAGGTAAGGCCCTGGGGACAGACGGGACAGACAAAGCAAGCACCTGAAGTCCACTGCCATCACAGCAGTGCCCACTCGCAGGCATTCTGGAGGACACAGTGCAGCTGCTGCTGGGCTCTCGGAGGCTGTGAGTCTTCACGTGGGCAGAGCAGAGCGAGCGGCTGGTGGGTTTCCACTGCTGCCCTTTGCTGTTGGCACTGTATTGCATAGCCCACCACGCTGCCCTGCCTCCTTACGGGCAAAGGAGGGGCCGCTGGCTGCTGCCTCTGAAACGCGCCCTGTGAGTGTGCGTCCCACGGCACACATTTGAAGCCCAAGTGCAACTTTCCAGATGGAACCTCCCATCCCAGAAGCGCCGTTGGGCCTGGGTGCCCGGATGGTACCAGAATCCCAGCTGTCCCGCCGCCCACCCGGGTGTCCTGCTCGGCACCCTCTCTCCCCTGAAGCCCAGCCGCCGCCCAGGGCTGACTCTTAGCGTGCGTTGCCTTTTCTCACATTGGCCTCCTCCTTCCTGTCCCCAGTGGCTGCTCCGGTGGTCCCCACACCCACTGTTTTGCCCATGGGGGCCCCTGTTCCCCGACCTCGTGGCCCCCCACCACCCCCTGGAGAAGAAAACCGAGAGGTGAGACGGGTGGTTCCTTCCTCAAGAGACTGGGGACTTAGAAGGGACCGTTTTTTAGATTTTTTTAGGATTCTGAGAGGATGTGGGGTGGCAGGCACTGGGTGAGAGAGACCCTGAGCAGGGCTCGGGTCCCTGGGGCGGGGTGCTGACCGTGTTGAGCTGAGTGCGCCCTCTTGGTGTTGCCGTGATCGGTGCGTTTCACCACTGGCCGCGGCTTTCCCAGACCGAGAAGTAGTGAGGTGGTCTGAGCATGGGGCAGCCCACGGTCCCCTCTGACTGGGTTGTCTCGCAGCTGGACGACCCCTCTGTGGGCCCCAAGATCCCCCAGGCCTTGGAGAAGATCCTGCAGCTGAAGGAGAGCCGCCAGGAAGAAATGAACTCTCTCCAGGGTGAGGCTTTCGGGGAGCCCATGGGGTGGGGGAGGCGGCTGAGAAGAGAGACCGAGCTGCTGGGCAGGGATGCAGGGAGGGCACACTGACCGCGGCCCTGCCCCTTCACAGAGGACGAGGAGATGGAGACAGACGCTCGCTTGTCCCTGGGCCAGCCAACTTCCGAGACCGAGGATGACAGCGGGTCCATGTCCAAGAAAGAGGTACGGCTGGCACTGGTGCTGG